CTGTCCCGTTATTTTCATACACACTCTGTTAGCACACATTTACTGACACAAACATTTGTATCATCTGTTGTAGACCCAAATAAATAAAATCAAATAAGAACTCATTCTCAAAAAAGATAAACGCCATTCTTAAAATGTATAAACGAACAATAATTTGATTAATATTGATTAGAGTGCACCATAGAAATAAAATAATTGAGAGAAGAAAAAGAGATATGTTATCTATCAAAATCCAGTTAGATTAACATTCATTGGATTTTTTTGTGTGGATATGTAGCACATTAACATTTTAATAGCACTTAATGATTGACTGAATGGAAATGAAAATAAATGAAAATGTAAAACGAAAAAAGCGATCATGAAAATGTTTCCAATAAATGAATAAAATGATTTTTGACCACTTTGTTGTTCAGATATATCACATATTTGTAACGAAATGATACATGAATTGAAACAAAACACAGTATAAACTGAGGAGTGACTCCCGTGAGGTTCATGTATTTTCTTCACTCCGCTGGGAAACTGCTCTCATGTCAAGAAGCATCAGATCAGTGCATGCGCTGCATCGTCCAATCAGTGAGCGATACACAGTAAGGGGGCGGGGCGAGTATCTGAGGATTTCATCGGAGGATGGTCTGGTGGTTCCTCGGTTATCGCTCCTCCATTATCGCTCCTCATTCCTCGGTCCTCCGGCAGAAATAATAGCCATGGGACGGTACTCAAGATGGCGCAGACAAATCAACTTCCGGTGAGACCGAGAACCGAGGAGCGAGGAAATGAAAATAGTCGACCTGAGACGAGGCCTAAACGTCTGCTGCTTCCCCTCCTCTCTCATCGGTTCCCCTCCTCGGTCCTCCGCTCGCATCTCCTGTGGGCGGGACTAAGTCTCGAGGAGGGGAGTCGAGGAGGGAAATTTAAGAATTGAGAAGCCTCTTTCCCGCTTGCTGGCTGTTCGCTCCTCCTCTCTGGGAGCTGTAGTGACGTAGGGGACTTCCCCCCTCGTTCTTCTGTGTCCGATATCGCGTTAAACAGAGGATTTCGACATTGTACATTCATTGCTTACTTCCACATGCCTTTTCTTCTCCTTATCTCTTTCATAACTTTATATGTAATACATGTTAACGGCGTCAATAGCCACTTTAATGATACTAATGGACGGTAGTCCCGGATGTCGTCATGAAGGATTTTCAGAATAAAAGCTTGGTATTGAGAACTTCCATTTTTTTCCAGAATAAAATAGCATTTAAACTGACGGTATGGGTACATTATGCCATAAAACATTGATTTTAATTTCTAACAGCTAACAAGGTGGAGGACGCTGAAACGGGGCTATTCACTCCAGTTTTGCAGCGTCCCACTGTACCACATGTATACCCTGTACCACTGTATCACATGGGCCACTGTCTTATGGGTGTCCCACACCCACCTCTTTTTATGGGCATGCGAGAGGTAAATCTGTCCTCCCAGGAAGAGATCTGTTTCCTCTCAGCAGAGATTCAGGCTCTGGTGCAGAAACAGGCTGTGTCTGTTGTGCACCCTCAGCACAGAGAAAAGGGTATTTATTCCATGTACTTCCTGGTTCTCAGGAGGACAGGGGAATTCAGACCTATTCTAGATCTCCGCGGTCTGAATCGCCACATTTCCTGAAACAGTTACATGGGGCTTGTGCAGCCAGGCGATTGGTTCGACCATCGACCTGAAAGACGCGTACTTTCATGTAGAAATTGCTCCAGAGCACAGAAAGTGTCTGCGTTTTGCCTTCCAGGAGCCTACGAGTATACAACAGGCTGCCGTTCGGCTATTCCCTATCCCCATGTACATTCAGCAAATATGTGCACCACAGCGCTTCAACCGATGCGCGCCCACGGCATGAGAGTTTTCTTAGACAACCTGGTCATGGCTGGGTCTCGGGAACAGGCAATGTTTTGCACAGCACAATTGATCACACACCTAACCAAATTAGGCTTTGCGATCAATTGAAAAAAGAGCACCCCCATACCTCACCAACAGGCATTGTAGTTGGGAGTGGTGCTCGATGCAGGCGTGCTACGTGCCACCCTGTCAGAGAGCAGAAGTGCGTCCCTTCTCCGGGCGGTTCACAGGCTGCGACAGTGACAGCTTTAACTGTCATGCAGACTTTGAGTCTCATGGCGGCGGCTCACATTGTGGTCCCGCTGGGCTTACTGCATATGCGCCGCCTGCAGAGGTGGTTCTCCAGCCTGCGTTTGGATCCCAAGAGGCACAAACGGCGGCTGATGACCATCCCCCCCCTCAGTTGAGGGCAGTTTTGGGGGTCCCCGGATCACCTCCGGAGGGGGTCTCCACTGGGACGGATGACCTCCTACATCACAGTGTTCACGGACGTATCCAGAACAGGATGGGGAGGGACCTGCCTGAAGAGGGCTATAGGTGGGCGCTGGGCTCTAACAGAGTCTCGACACAGCAACCTCCTAGAGCTACGGGCGGTAGTGTTAGTTCTTCAGCATTTCATGCCCCTAATTCAAGGGAGACATACTGGTCAGGAGCAACAACAGCACCACAGTGGCTTATATCAACAGGCAGGGCGGAGTCCGCTCCACCGCCTTGTTGGCCACAGCGGAGAGGCTGTGGTTATGGGCTTCAGAGGTGGTGGTATCTCTGAGAGCCCTCCATATCCCGGGACTGGAGAACAGGGGGGCCGACCTCATGTCGAGGGGCGGCCCCCTGCCAGGCGAATGGACGCTTCACCCGGAGGTGGTGAAGCAGATCTGGGCCCAGTTCGGGAGAGCGGAAGTGGATCTGTTTGCCAGCCGGCGCAACAACCACTGTGCCTTCTCCATGGCCCTGAGTGACGACCCGCCCTTGGGGGTGGACACGTTTGCACACGAGCCATGGCCAAGGAAGCTGCGATACGCCTTTCCGCCGCTGCGTCTCATTCTCCCTCTCCTGGGGAGAGTGAGGCGAGAACGTCTGTCAGTCGTCCTAGTGGCTCCGGACCGCGTCAGGGCGCTGTGGTACTCAGAGATGACACAGATGAAGGTGGGCCAGCCCTGGGCGGTTCCCCAGTTCTGGGGGGCGATGTCTCAAGAGGCAGGTGCAATCGGGGCGTTACCCACTCTGGGCCGTCCTCTCCAGGTTTGGCTCCTGAGAGGGACAGGCTGAGACAGGGTGGATTGTCTGACAGTGTTATTCAGTCTATCCAGGCAGCTAGAGCTGGATCCACCACAGCCTGTTACAGGCCAAAGTGGCTAGGATTCCAGCGATGGTGTGAGGAGCGGAGAATAGAGCCTCTATCTTGTGAGTTAGGCTCTGTTTTTCCTTCTTACAGTTAGGCCTACTGGTGCACAGTGTTGGGTGTAACGCGTTACAAAAGTAACGGAGTTACAGTAATATATTACTTTTTGCTGTAACGAAGTAATATAACGCATTACTTATGAAATGTGGGTAATATAGGCTATTACCCGTTACAATGCCCAGTAACGCAGTTACAACACATTTCAACCCGAAATTAAATGGTGTTTTGTTTTTTAAGAATGTACTAACATAGCGAGACATTCCGACACCAGACAAATTGTGCGGGTGGATTAGTAAACCTGGTGTGTTTACCCTTCAGGCTTCGCGTCGGGATCTTCGGGGCAGTTGAATGTTATGAATTTGAATGCTCTATTCAAAAAAGAGAACGGAGCGAAAAATACAAACAACAAATTGTGTCAGGTGTGCGTGACCTGCTCCGCTGCGCGTGCATCATTTCCAAAGTGCTTCCACAGCAGTGACACACATCTGTGGATAATCATTTATACGAAAACCATCACTAAACGCCAGCAACACTGCATCTACTGCAGACAGTAGCAACGGGTCAGATGGGGACATCACGTTACCCTCCGTTGTGGACACTAAAGCTTACTCCCGCCTGACTCGCCCCCGGAGCAGCAGTCTTCGTCTCCCCAAACTACACCGCCCCTCTGCGGCCCGCAGGTGCCAAGATACCATGGCAAAACAGAGCCTGCCCAGGTATATCTAAACAAGTACTCGCCTGTACAGTGGGGTTAGGCGGTCATTTTGCAGCTCGTGGTATACAAATAGACAAGGGCTAGAATATTCATGTGAAAATAGTGCCATATTCTGCCATGCCTGTAGAAATGTTGGGTCAAAAATAATGCATACAATAGCACGGATGCCTTCACCAATATATGGCTACAAAAAGATCTCATATCCCAAGCTTATCAACAAGCTAATGTTGCAGCTGAAATGTTCTCCAGGTCACAAAGTCAACCTCATATGATGATGTGATACCAGTTTTCAAGCACAGTAAATATTCTCTTCCCAGAGTATATGGGACCAAAGTGATGATTTAGTACATGGTTTTAATAATAATTTTGCTTTTCAATGTTTGCCATTTCAAACCATGAGCTGGTTTAAATAATATGTGCCTTGATTTACAATATGTTCTCAGTTGTTTTATCAGTACAGTTTTGAAGCTTTTGTGCTTTTCTTTGCCATAGTCCACTTTGGACTATATGAAATATTTCAGGATTGCACTTTTAACTCACTTGAAATGTTCTCACTTGCTTGGTTTCAAAACATAACAAATGCCATAATCTGTTCATTGGGGACCATCAATGCTATTGTTCATTGTTGTTCTGGTGATTTATCTGACGTCCAGCGCTCCGTCTTTTAACCTCTTTTCCTGTCTCTTTCTTGATCCTCCTTAGCAACCTTCATTATAGTCCTTGACAGTGGTCTGTACTGTATTAACAATGTGTCACAGGTTAAGAAGTTACAATCAGAATTGAGTATTCAACTAAGCCGTGTAATACAAGTTGTTAGTAGCCTTAAGGGCCTACACAGTTGTTATGCTATACCACATTGCCCTTCACTGGATGTATAATGAGCAACAAGTCCTCCAACTAATACGACCAAATAGGTCGATTGTTTTCCGACCCAAATACGACCCACAGCAGCGTTTTCAATCAACGTCTTCCCCCTATTCATTTCTAGCAGCGAAGAAGAAGAAGAAGAAGAAGAAGAAGAAGAAGAAGAAGAAGAAGAAGAAGAAGAAGAAGAAGAAGAAGAAGAAGAAGAAGAAGAAGAAGAAGAAGAAGAAGAAGAAGAAGAAGAAGAAGAAGAAGAAGAAGAAGAAGAAGAAGAAAGAAGAAAGAAGAAGAAGAAGAAGACGACTCCGAGCGGGAACCGGAATTGGTAAAATGCTAACTCACCGGTTGTTTTTGGACTCGTCACTGCATCACTGACAACATCCATGTATTTCCTACAGACAAGCTAATAAAGGTGAGTAGTCAGATTTATTTTGTCGTCTAGTACAGTGACTAAGATTACTATGTTTACCTAGGAATAATGATAGCAAAGCTAAATTAGCCAAAAGTAGAATCAGCTAACGTTAAGGTGAGCATGGAAGTTATGTGATCCATCGGTTCATGCGGTCCAAATGTTATCACACGTCACATTCTTTATAACTATATTAAATACTATGTATTAAGTGAATAGTCATCAGGGGTAGGCCTATAATGCTGTCTGGCAATGCGCAATATTTATTTTGTTCAAGTCCGACGATTTATTTTCTCAGCCGCTCCTCCGCAAGATGGCGTCGCGTGACGTCACAGTGGCCAAACAAACAAACCTTGGCTTATCGCTCACAGCTGCTTCCGCCGATAGTACAACTTAGTTTCGTTATCGTGTCTGATTCTGAGTAGACTATAGACTAAAAGCTTTAGGAATCCAAACTATAACATATAATAAGTACCCTGTATCAAGATTGATGCAAAACAAGTGAAATGTTACCTTTTTAGAGAGGTTTAGAAAAATAAAGTCCAGGCGGACTCACCTCTGAGTGAGCCTCTGAATTAGCCCCGAGCGAAAAATGCTCGCAGTGGCTCACAGCGGCTTCCGCCGATAGTACAACTTAGTTTCGTCTATCATGTCTGATTCTGAGTCGGAGGCCACCCAATATCTGGAGTATGTTGTCGACATCCAACCATATCTATTAGAACCTCTGATGTCGAAGAGGAAATACAAGGAAACGTCACCTGATATCACCGATGAAAGTGCTGATGGCGATGATTCAAGTTCGCCATCTGAGGAAGAGGCCGAGGGTGCTGAGAATTGGTGTAGATGTGGAAACTGCCAGACCATGCCTACAAGCCGAGAAAACAAGTGCTGCCACAACTATGGGAAAGTGAAGGAAGAGATGGGAGAAGAAGTCTGCATCACCGACTGTAGGACGTTCGACATTTTCCGTTATGAGTGGAGGAGCGATGAATGAGCTGCAGATAAACTACAATGCTAACAGTGAATTAGCCCCGAGCGAAAAATGCTAACCTATTACTGCACCAAAATCACTCCTAGCGCCCTTATTACTTATCCTAGCTCCACATCCAACACATTGTTTATGATCGTAAAGACACAGAATCTAACGGTGCCCACCTCTATAAGCAATAAAACTGCAATTCCGTTATCTGCGTTATCTGCTGTGCTCCGTAAGCTTTGAAATCTAATCAAAAGTTGTTTACCTCAATTCTTTGGCGTTTCTGCATCGCCCGGCTCTTTCGTTCTTTCAGTGGTTTCTTGTGCTGAAATATGGAGGGGACGGCTCCGGGTTTCAGCCTCCGACGTGCTATTAATGCTTCTCCACCAACAGACTTCATGATAGCAGGATCAACGTCGTATGCATCACACGCGAAGTGGTCAGAACACAACTTGCTCCATTTTGTCGGTTGCCATCCAACACGATTCACTAAAAAAATCCATTTTTTGCGGATGATTTGGTCTTTGGGAAATGCATGTAAAACTCTCCCAGATCCCGCACCGTTCGTACAACAAAAAGCTCAACAATAACCCATGTTAATTCAGTTTTCTTTTCGAAAAACATGTGACCGAGACTACCGAGTCGGGATATTTGGTCCAGAGACTGTTTGGCCACTATTACGTCACGCGCGCGGAGGCTGCTGGGAATTACATGTCAGAAATTCAGACGGCTTTGGGTCGAGTTTTGGATCAACAACAAGCTTTTTTTTGGGTGTATTATCTCGATTTAAATAAAATAAAAAATACAGGCAGTCTTAAAAACAACATTTCTATAAAAATGTAGCATATTTGGAAGCTTTGCATTTGATCTTTAAAGGTGGGGTAGGTAAGTTTTAGAAACCGGTTCGAGTGCACTAAAATTAAAAAAGTACACAGCCGAAAAGAATCCGCCCCTTCCTTCAGACTTCCTTACAGAGCACCTCCTCCAACACACATGAACGCGCACATGACGTCAGCAGACTGGTGAAAGTGGCCGCCTGTTGCTGGCGAGTCATTGAAGTACTGCTGCAATGCACGCCCAATGACGGCACGCCCAATGAGGGCACGAGATACATTTGTGCGTGCACGAGAAGGAAGGCTGACAGACAGGGCAGCAATTCCACAGATGACATTTTTTTATGGATTTTTTGTCAAAGCACTTTAGATATTCATTGCTATCGGGATGTTAAGAGCATTCCATGGAATATAACAAAAAGTGTATCTTGAGCCGGTTTCTGAAACTTACCTACCCCACCTTTAAGTTTCATGGTGTTGACAGACGTATCCATAGATTTAGTTAATTTTGCCCTCAAAGTGCACAAGATTGATGCATTTAACTTCCCGGGGCCTCCGGACCCCCCTAGAGGATGTGAGGTCCACCCCCACTTAAAACATATTCACATGGATAGGATACTAAATAAATGTGCACACTTTTTATATAGTAACCTTTGTACCTCAGCAGGAGGGAGTTAGTTAAGTGATCAGTGAAGGACCTTTATAAACTATCAAGCAGCTTTGTCCAGCATTTACTGTAAGAATCACACATTTATTCAATAATGCAGACTTAATAAACAACCATTCTTTGTTGATTCTGGCTGGAGTGTTAATTGACAGTAGTTACATAAGCTTCAAAACGAGCCACAACTGCGCGTGCACGCATGCGGAACTTATAGAGTTAGCAATACACCCATGGTAATGATGATTTTAGTATTAGTTCTGTGATGATGGAGCATCAACTTTTGGATCAACCAGATATTGACGGATTAGGGTTGTCGATAACAGTCACTTTAAACATGTGACTGACTCTGTATAACCATTTTTTTCCTTACTCTTGTGATTTTTGTTCATCCTATCTAAAAGATAAAAAAACATGAGTTCATTGTTTTAACAAGATTTTTCACGATATAATAAAATACATGAATCCTGTAAACATTTGTAGTATAGTATTCTTATTTGTTTTATTCCCTTATCTGTGTTTCTGTTACAGATGCCTGACAGTGTGCCAGACTTGCAAACACAAAATAGGAGTAGCCAGCAGGAAATGCAGGCAATGTGGTGCCAACCAACCCTACAAGGAGAAACTATCCAAGCAAAAGGAAAAGGTTGCACAGGAGTGGAAGGCCACGCAACAAAAAAAACACAGTGTCAACAAAGTTTATGACTCAACAAATCTACTGGTACGTTTTTTTTTCTTGCTGATCTTAATCTTTTTATACAAATTGTTATATTACTTAATTGATGTATACTTTCCAACAGTCGCCCTCATTTACTTTTTTAAAATAATCCAAATTTATTAATTAAGTTTATGGGAGGAGTACAGACTAGTGCATGATTACTGCACTTCATGAGATGTGTTAAGAAAAATTGTTGTCACCGTTGTATTTAAATCTGTAAAGGCATAACACATTTTTTCAAACTGATGTTAGATAGTGTTTGTACTTGCAGGCGCCCAGTTTTAGTAAAACATTATTTCGTAACCAGAAGTAACATAGTTCAGGCCAGTGGGGATTCCTAGAATCAGAGCTTCAACGTACATTTCTTCTAATTATATCTTACAAAATAAACTGCATTTTGGTGTTTTATATTTTATTTTGGACCTTCATGGTATGGCAAACACAGAATTATGTGACTGGTTTCCAAAAGTAAAATAAATGAAATATCATACACATTTTGAATAAATGGTAAAACCAAGAATGTCACAGAATCAAATGTAAAGATCTAAATAATAAATTAAAAATAAATAAAGATACAAAATGTTTGGGCTGAATATAGATAGATTAACATTGGCTCAACTCTGCCAAAAACCAGCCAATATTAATATAGTGCTTGAAAGACAATCAAGTCCTGGAAAGAGTTTGTATTAATAAAGAGGCCCTTAAAAGCACTTTAATTTAGCTTACCAGAGTCTCTGACTTTGAGCCGTGTTCGACCAGTCATTTCAAAATTCACCTGTAACACCAGCTTTACATCTGAAATGCTTTAGTCATCAATATTTTGAGTTAATGCAGAACTTTGAACCTGAAATGACATAGGTTATAGCTTGCTGACATATTTCAAAGCTAAATGTAGCTTATTCAGATATCTGAATGTGAGAGTTAAATAGACCCATATAAAAATAACCATGCCCATGTAAACAAAACTCAAAAAGTGAACCTGAGCTTTTTTTCATGGTGTTTTTTGTGGGTCTAAAATCACACCTGGTTAATGGTGGGGTGCCTTCCTCAATGTGCACACGTATCACATCAGTGCATTTTTCACTTATGCAAAAATAAATTGAGTTGTAATAGCTTTGGGTGTGTGAAAATGTTTAGAGCTGTTATGTAAACAATATTTCTTGTTTTTTTTGTGTCCATTGTGTTCCAGCTCCACAAATGGAAACTTCTTGAGCGGCATCCCATCCTCCTTCTTGCTAAGAGAGGCACAAATGGTTTTGCGGCCGATTGCCTCTGTCCATGGCAAATTGAGACAGAAGATGGTAACAATGCACTTGTTACCATAAAGAGGATTTACGAAAGCCTTCTTAATGGTAAAGTATAAAAATCTGCATGCTATATTTTAAGCCAAAAGTCATTCAGCAATTTATCTGTTAACATTTTTTGTAAATTAATTGCTCAGTTATTTTGTTTAAAAAAAAAATGTGAATCACTGTTTACCAAGTAGTACAAATATGTCGTTATGTCTTGTTTTGTCAGTTAAAGGTGTCACAAACCCTCAAAGTACACCCTGTAGCGAGTAAAACTCTAACACAGAAAATACCTGTCTATGCTGCCCCAGAACGCCTCGTTGGAGATTTCTCTTTTTCCATTGTTTGCTTCCTGAGTATAGTGACGTACCGGCTCACACACATACACTCACTCAGCCTTATCTTTTCTCAGCCGTGGCTCCGCGGATCTCCTCACACACACACACACACACACACACACACACACACACTCACAGTGTGGCTGTTTAGGACAGAGAGTGAATACACATACAGAGATGCTGTATGAGAAACCAATGTGAGTTTGGAACATTGCACAATATAAATCTATTCTAGTAGACCTCAACTATGGAATTATGATCAGTAGAAATGGCCATGACATGGGACCTTTAAACTAGAAGGAAAATACAAAGAAATTGTTCACATTTGAGAATCTAATTATGACATGTTTTTACTGAAAGGATTACTCAAAACGATAATCAATTATAGAAACAGCTGGTCAATCATTTTAAAGTTGACAATTAATCAACTAATAATCACCCTTACTTATATACTGATAACAATACTAATAATAACATTACGTTTTGTGGGACTATGTTTTTCGTAAAAGCTTAGCAGCACAACTATTGGTGGATTGCTGCACTGGTTTTCTCATCCTAACATTGAAGTCTTAAATGCTTGATTCATAAAAAATAATCAATATTTGTAGTTTCATTTTTAGCTGTAAGTACTCAGATTATAAATGTATATGGAGGATTATACTTGGTCATTTATTCACCATGCCTCTACTTTTTTTTCTTCTCAAAAGTGACTTTGGCAGTTGAACCAGAGGGTCCTTCAACCACACAGGCCGAAATGGCCGCAGACCCAGGATCAAATTCCTTGGGCCCTTCTCACTTCTCTTATTTTTCATTTCCTCGCTCCTCGGTCTCACCGGAAGTTGATTTGTCTGCGCCATCTTGAGTAGCGTCCCAATGGCCTTATTTTTGCCGGAGGAGCGATAATGGAGGAGCTATAACCGAGGAACCACCAGACCATCCTTCGATGAAATCCTCAGACACTTGCCCCGCCCCCTTACTGTGTATCGCTCACTGATTGGACGATGCAGCGCATGCACTGATCTGATGCTTCTTGACAGTTGAGTTTCCCAGCGGAGTGAATAAAATACATGAACCTCACGGGAGTCACTCCTCAGTTTATACCGTGTTTTGTTTCAATTCATGTATCATTTAGTTACAAATATGTGATATATCTGAACAACAAAGTGGTCAAAAATCATTTTATTCATTGTTTGGAAACATTTTCATAATCGCTTTTTTCGTTTTACATTTTCATTTATTGTCATTTCCATTCAGTCAGTCATTAAGTGCTATTCAAATGTTAATGTGCTACATATCCACACAAACAAACAAAGTGTGCAATCCAATGAATGTTAATCTAACTGGGTTTTGATAGATAACATATCTCTTTTTCTTCTCTCAATTATTTTATTTCTATTGTGCACTCTAATCAATATTAATCAAACCTTTGTTCGTTTATACATTTTAAGAATGGCGTTTATCTTTTTTGAGAATGAGTTCTTATTTGATTTAATGTATTTGGGTCTACAACAGATGATACAAATGTTTGTGTCAGTAAATGTGTGCTAACAGAGGCAGGGGGGTGTGTGTGAAAATAACGGGGACAGAGCTGCTGTCAGACGATCAGCTGTGCAGCGTCATCACAAACGGACGTTGCTTCACGTGACGCTCCGGAGGAAAGGACGTCCCATTGCTCTTAAAACTAATTTCCCTGCTTCTCGTGGTTTCCTTGCGTCTCTCCATGCTTCCCTGGTAGGAGGGACTAGTCGCAGGGAAACGACGCAAGTGAGAGACGCAAGGATTTCATTTAACCGAAGTGAGAAGGACCCCTGCTCTCTCCTCCGGCCTGACTCCTGCTCTCTCCTCCAGCCTGACTCCTCCTCTCTCCTCCGGCCTGACTCCTCCTCTCTCCTCCGGCCTGACTCCTCCTCTCTTCTCCGGCCTGACTCCTGCTCTCTCCTCCGGCCTGACTCCTCCTCTCTTCTCCGGCCTGACTCCTGCTCTCTCCTCCAGCCTGACTCCTCCTGTGTCCTCAGTGTCTTCCTCACAGAAAAGAAGACCAACGAGGAATAAAGTGGCAATTAATGGTATGTGCGGGTTAATTAGTAATTATCTTATTTACATAGACTGAAACTGTTTGATTTTGCACATTGAATTAGTTAAAGAGAGAGAAAACAATCATCGGTACAATTAGAATACGCCACCTTTTGTTTTGTTTAAGACTTTGCAGTATCAAAAGTCTGTGCCATTTTGAACAGTTTAATTGAGCACAATGTGATGTTAGGCAATGTTTAGGAGGTTATTGCTGAACTTCAACTTATTACCATCTTTTAATTCCTTGCAGAATGTCCCATTCATCAAGGGTCAGCCACTTTCCCCTACAAAAAACTACTGAGGGAAAGAATCGGGGAGGTTTGTTTAGAAAATATTTTAAAATAAGAAATAAACAATGACAATAATGCTTCCGTGGAACCAAGTCTTATCTTATTGGATTTTCGTATACTTTGTTTAAAAAGTGTTTCAGTCTTAAGCATGACTGCTAATGTAAACATTGAAATTACAGTAACAATAATTTATTATTAATTTAAGGTTGAGGTACTTGTGTAATGCTTCATGTCGCATTAATGCATCATGTTGTATATTACATTTTTTCTTGTAATCATTTGTAGGTGAATTCCTATTCTTGGCAGTGCAAATATCTTTTTAAATAATAATAGTATTCCAAAAATATTAAACTGATGGGGAAAATGCTATTGACTATGTTACAGTCCTTCATATGTTTGAGTTAATCGTACCTACTATTATTTCAAATTATCATTTGATTTCACTGGACTTTTCGTATTTACATGTATGTATTTGAAAAAAAATTAAGATTACCTAAAATCTGTCTTTCTTTACTCAGGGCCATACCGAGGTGTTGGTGCAGTGGCAGTCTTGCTCTGGATGGTATGTATCTAATCTGAAGTTTCCTTCAGTGTAGCTGATGGGGCTGGCAGAACAGGGGCCAGAAAGTAGTCTTACCAACCAACTTCATCAACCCTGAGATCACTAACTTAAACATTTTGGGTTCCTCAGCAGTAAATTCAATTTAGTTGATCACATGGGGGTGGGGAGCCATGTCATCAATGGCTCTATCAGACAGCGATTGCGCCATAAAGTAAGACATCCAAGTTCTCTGCCCTTCGTCATTCAGACATCGCAGGTCTCCCTTGAAAAAGAGATCTATGATCTCAATGGGACCAATCTGGTTAAATAAAGGTTTGAAATGAAATGAAAATTGCGCCCTAGAAACGCTGTCTGGTTGTAACACATAAGCAGGGAAGTAGCCTACATTGGAATAGAAATTAAAATACAATATACAACTGAGTTTATCCTTGATCAATATCACTAAAGGTTAAATGATTGATATGTGAGGCTGGATGGTATTTGATCTCTTTTGTAATTACTTGTTACATTTGTTCTTAACAATTATACTATAAGTATAGTTAGTAGTAAGTAGTATTATTTCTGTGTGCTGTCTTGGAGGCAGTTGTCTAAGTTTAGTGCTGTATGTTTGGGCATTGATAAGACAGCAAATTCAAAGAATTGGTCAAATGAAGCATTGACTTTGAAATAAAAAATGTACCTTGTATTATGTATGATGTATGTGTTATATATAAATATATATATTATACTGCACTTTCATCACGATATGTTTAAGTGACTTAGTGTATCTTCTCATTTGAAATAGCATTGTCAACGTACTGTAGAACTACATATTCCAAGCAGTTGAAAAAAATTAATACTTTTTGCTGTTTTACAGTGGGGCGAAGTGGAAAAATTCCCGGGAGCCAAAGGAAAACTGTCCTAGTTAAATATGCCTGACTTTTTTTTTTATACATTGGAGTAATAAAATACATATAAATAAAACATCTATGTAAGTGTCGTGCCTATTTATGTTCTTATGTTATCAGTGAGCTGAAGCCAATACAAATATATGTTTTAAGTGTATCCATACAAACTCATTCTCTGAAACTGTCATGTTTGGTCTGTTGAATGACACCCATGAGGAAAAAGGTCCTATACATTATATCACATCTGTGATGTGATGAGGCCATGGGCGTAGGAAGCATCCTGAATGCGGGGGGGACATTTTTAACGGGGGGTGTGGGGGTCCTCCCCCACGAAAAGAAATAGATTTCCTGTATTCTGGTGCATTTTAACAGGTGGTTTGATACTTGTATGTGGCTATACTAGCATGAGGGAAATGATGGGTGCATTTTGTAATTTCATCCAGTAGTAAAGAAAGGAAACATTTGATTATTAATTCAGAGCCGTCTTTTAATTAATAAAAAGCAGTTTAAATGCCCATTTTTTTGTACATTTATATACAACAATACATATTTGTGAGTGTATTGAGAGATATTGTTGTGGAGAGTCATTTATATATAAATCGCAAAATACATTTGTGAATCCTTCTGTGAGCATTTATTAATATTGAGACTGATCTGACTCCATACAGATGTTAAGTTCACCTAGAAATGGTATCATTGACTTAAATGTTGCTCTTCTGTCTATATTGGTCATATGATGCCCCTTGACTGAAATGCTTCCTGTTTAATATCCCCACTGATTTCCTTAACATTCTGGGATGAGAGTCCACATCACAATTTACTCTAAACTGTAATTTCCCTTTCATCACGAACCTCAGCAACGAACCTCTCTCCACTGTCCCTGTGTTCTGCCTCTGCCTCACTCTCAAGCGCCTAGATGTCAAGAGAGGTGGTGAAGCAGACCCGGCGCCAGAACAAATCTAAAGGGAGGGCATATGATTTTCATGGGAGGGCACACAAAACCGTCACCTGCTGCGGGCATGCGGCATAATATATATCAAACAGCAAGGCCAACAGCATTGCGTAAAGACGCACACTTATCGCAAATACATACACAAATAAAGGGCAACATAGAAACCACTTTTGAAACATTGTGTGCGTGGCAGCACATACACTGGTAAATCACGAGCAAGGCACACTGGTTACGGATGGCAGCTTCCTCATCGCTGCACTCGGAGAGAAATAGTAGAGACGGAGACGATGAACTGTTTAGCCCGCCTTGGGCATGGTTTATGTTCCTATGCACTGCACTCGGACATGCTGTGGAGTGAATCGAGTCACCTCTGAGAGGGAGTTGGTTGACAGCTAAAAAAGCTTTAATATCAACGACAGCTGACACGTAATAACGGCTCCGTGCCAGCTGATCTGCACCAAAGTACTCATTTCCTTATTTGTTTCCTCGCGTATCTGTCTCTCTCTCCACACACTCTCACATGAAATGTGTTCTTTTGATGCGGCATGTCTAGCAGTCCTTTATCAGTCTGTAATGCGTGTTTCCAGTGGCAAAAACCTTTGACAGTAAAAGCCGCATCAGATGAAGACGTATTGACTTTAAACTGTCTGGGGAAACAAAAGGCTGCGTCTGCTTTTAACGAATCTTCAAGCCATGGTCTGTTGTTGTACCATGCAGCGGCAAAAGTGCGCTTCTTTCCTGAAAACAATCTCCCTAGATAACGATCCAGCTTCACCTGCTTGGGTTTATTAACCCCAAGATCATCGCTAACTCAGCCCCGGAGTTTGCGGAGGTCAAGCTTGTGACATTAAGGCGTGCTGCTGCAACGGCAGGTGCACAGGGTCGCCAGCAGCACCATCGGCTGCAGTTCTTTCATCGCTATTTCGTTTTAATAAATCCTTAGACCTTTTAAGCCAATTTCTGATGTCCATTTTGTAATTCAAACATAAATGGGAGTCTACAGAATGCACAATAAACAATAAACAAATCCAGAATAGGCGGCAGAGTGTGACGCTGTGATTGGTCTAAATGGGGACGAATCACAAATCACAACACACACATGCATTTATTGACGTAGCCTGCGATTTTTTGTTTTTGTTCTGACATCACATACATCGTAGCATAAAAGTTCACAATTTATTTATAATTAAAAAATATATATATATTTTTTTAAATGTTTATAAATAATAAAAAACGTGTTTATTGGGGGAGGGAAGGAATGTCAAATGGGAGTGCCTGGCCCTCCCTGGCCCTCCCACGGCGCCGGGCATGTGGTGAAGTGATCATTATTTATTGAGCAGTATACTCTTTCACATTGAATCATAACAAGTCATACTGAATGTAAATACAACTGACTCTAAAGTAAGTCCCAGTCTATGACATTGGACATTTTGAAGACTCAAAGTCCCAAGCAGTAGGTAGAATATTAGCTATGTAATGTGCACAAAAAATAAATAGTTAACTGAATACTGGGATGGAAATTACCTATAAGCACTCAGTAAAACATAAACACACACAAAAAGCTTCTGAATGATAAGAAGTATAATTAAAACATAATGCACATTATCATTTTGAGAGAGAGTACCGAAGTTAAAGAACTCTTATCGAACTGAGGCTCCAGTAATGCGGCTTTCACACCAGCGCTTTTCCCTTTCTAGCTCCGAGCTAGAGCTTTTCTGGTTCAGCTCCGGTTTCCCTTTTCTGCTCCCGCTCTGTTCACACCGCCCAGCACCCGACTGGTGCTGCCGCTGCTGCGTCATGACGTCACCGTTTACATCGCTGATTTGCTCCCCAACGGCATTACGGCGCTCACAACAACAACAACAACGGGGAACTGCGTCGGGTCGATGATCGTGTTGCTTTTAATCACACGAAGCCAGAATAAATTGAATAACGACTTCTCCAACCTTATGCTTTTCTCCAGAGTGCCGTGGTTCATTGTTTATTAATGTGTTTCTGCAGCATTTACCGACCGCTGCAGTGTTGGCTGCTCTTCCACGGGAGTTTATTCTCCTCCGTTAGCTCCCGGTTAGCTCACACTGCCGCTCTAAAGTATTCACTGTCCGACTCACACAAGCAGCTGATACATATCCCCAGTTCCCTTTAGCCTAAGTGAATGTGTGTCAGTCTGATTTGACGCTGTTTGGTATCACAACGCTGTTATGAAAGTTTCTCTGGTATAAAATGGGTGATGTTAGCATAGCAACCGAAGCTAAACTGACTACTTGCTATTGCTATCCTATTGTGGCATAAACCGTTTTCTACAGGCACATTTTACCGGCGTATTTTTATTATGATTCTACTTGTGATAGTCGGACACGACAACCTGTGCAGCCCATGTATTGATTCCATCCGATAGCTGCTATAATACAAAACAAAACGTCTGCCTCTCTCCACAATGATCAATAACAGTGAACGGATGGTCAAAGTAAAGTACAAATAAACAGAATCACACGAAGCCTGGTTAGTGTTGCCTGACTTTATAAAGTGTGTTTATAAGCACTACTGCTTGTAGGCAGGCATGACAGTCGACCCATGTTCAGGGGAGGTGGGTTTAGTTTCCTGCACGCCTCGACGTAAGAGAGACGTAAGCGACGCCACCTCTTAGCTCCGAAGCTCTTGCCTCTAGACCGACAATTTTTTGGAACTGGAAGTGAACCGGATTCCGGAGCTAAGAGCCGGCGCCGCTGCGGTGTGAACAGGAAAAACCGGCGCTTTTCAGGCTCCAGCTCCGAGCCGGAGCTGAAAAAGCGCTGGTGTGAAAGGGGCAAAACACACTGACTGCGCCTCTACAGTACATCATGGTGTTTACATGAGCACAGAGATCGGGTTATTCATGTTCCCTGTTTACATGATACATACTAGTAACCTGGCATTTCGATGCCTTTTCTCATCTAAACTATTCAGTATTTGTATCTCTCTATCATGACATAAAGACGAAACTCCTCTCCAGAAGTGAGACGCTTTTGCCGCCGCCGCCATCACTGTTAACTGATTAACTGCTACCAGCTGAAGACTTACTTTCCTATTCTTTGAAAAAAAATGTGTTATGTCCATGTTGTCTGGGGGAGAAAACATATCAAACCAAGAGATCGTCAGCTTTGATTTTCGCTGTATTAACAATGTCCTGAACATTTGGTGTGTGTGCCTTACCTCCGCTACCGGCATCGCTTCATACAACAGATCTGAGCTGTCCAACTATGGCAACACTCCTTGAACATGCGCGCGCTATGGGAGAATCTGCCTTGGTACAAAGTAGCAGTGAAAACATAGTACGGAGTTTCATTGATTTGGGCATTCTCTCAATAAGCAAGTGGAATGGATTTGATAGTGAAGCACTGACACAGCGCTCAAAGTGCGGCAAGTGGAGAGACCGATTCACGGACTTTCCACATGGTAAAAGTGGGGGGGTCTAAACTAATCATTTGAAAAAGTGGGGGGGACTTGTCCCACCCTCATATAATGGTTGCGACGCCCGTGGATGAGGCCCTCGCGAGCGTCGACTGGGGGTGGTGGTGGTGGTGTGTAAACCCCGGACACACCAAGCCGATTACAGCTAGTGGAGCCTCGCAGCAGAAACTGTGGCTCGCTCAATTGCGCCGCATTTGCGCATCAGATGAGGTTCCCTCCACAAAATGAGGGCGAGAGGCAGACGCAGTCTGTGTGATCGGCGTGTAGGGAGGAGCGGGCCTGCACATCGGCATATCACAGACTGGTGCATACATTGTACAGGCGGCAATTTGAATTGGAATGCAGCCCACTCACGGCAGACAAACCCAAACACTTTTGGAACACGCCACCTCCAGATACATTAACATGCACTCCCCTAACTTTCCCCTAATCTGACATTGTATTTCATTCCATAACATTTTATCAACAGAAAATGAAGGGTAATCAAATAATAAAACATGTCACTCATATCACTTTCTTTCTTTCATACTGTACTTGTCATTTTTATATCCTATATATTCAAGCTGCACTTCAACTTCAATTCTTGACAATAATACAAAAAAAATTATTTTCGGATTATGTCTATGAGGGGCCATTATTCAGAAATACTGTTCACACATGTGAAACACACACTGAAACCAAAATCA